GACCAGACCCTTAAACAGCTGCAGCGGTACATTCCTGCTTTTGTATTCTAGCCTTCTCAAAATGAATACTAACTTCCTAACTTCCAACTGAACCTTGCAGATGCTGTAGATGGTATATCCTGCTGCCGTGGTGCATGGTGGTGGAGGGACTAAACAGTGAAGGTGCTGGAAGGGCTTCCAGACAAATGGGCTGAGATTGATTTGAGCTTTTTGAGTGTTGGAACTGCCTAATCCAGGTCAGTGGGGAGAATTCTATCACAATAACTGTGCCACATGAGTCCTACATCATTGAATAATTTCTCCACCACTCCGACAAACAGCTTTGCATTTATCATAAACTGTTATCAATACGTTTATCACATCAACAACCAAACTGTTGCTGTCAGCCTTGTTCTTCACACCTAGGTGCTTCTTCTTTTATAATAAACTATCTTCTGTACATGATTATCAGTCAGGTGCTTGTGTGAAGTATCATCATAGAGACAGGAATAGAAAAGGATGGAGACAGGCAACTGACTGTTAAACTCTAGGATCTCAGAGGGTTCTCGCCCTCTCATCTGGGAGAGCCTTTTGGAAGTGTATTCAGAACATATTACATTCAATCAATGCCGCGTCTACTTGGAAATCATTGAAGAGACAATAGAAGAGCTTTACACTTCAACTAAGTCCCAATCTATTTGACTAGAACACTCTGCTGATGGTAGTTACTCTGGTTACTCATGCCATCTATCTCAAACCCTGTTTGTCCATTGAGTGAGCAACAATTTCCTCCACTTAAATATGAAATCGCTGGCAGTAATTTTATCCCTCTTTGAAGAAAGGTGGGTTTAGGCTGGGTAAGATGTTAAAATGTTTGAAACCCAACCTTCCTGTGAGACCCCTCACTTCTGATTTTAACAGAGATGGGACAACAGGCAACTAACCTGCTTCCCAGTAAGTGGATCACTCATTGGAATATTGTCATCATTATTGGTGGTCCCTTGGAATTGAGGATGGTCTCTGTCAGGCTGGATGAGTCTTCAAATGAGTCTTCGAACAAATCTTCAGATGAGTCTTTGGATAACTGAAGAACCCAATTTTCAATCCACAAGGTTCTCAGCAGCGGAGGAACTGTTGTTGGATGGAGAAGTGACATTTACAGCCCAGGGTTGGCTTCCTTCTCCTTCCTTTGCCACCACTGTTTCACCTCGCTGGTGAATTCCTGACCTTCGAAGTGGCTTGTGTCTTGATGGATTAGGAAGTTCTACACTCAGCAGTTGGCAGTTTTCTCCTCCCAGCCGGTGGTGTCAATGCCTCTGTGCTCTAGATGACCTGAGTTTTGAACAGTTTGTTGAGGCGATGTCTCTCAAATTTGATCTATCTTTCAGGTTTTATGCAGACTAGTTAATTGAGGCGATGTCTCTCAAATTTGATCTATCCTTCAGGTTTCATGCAGACTGGAGTTCCCAGGTGTTAAGAAACCCAACACCAAAGGGAGATGGGAATTGTTGTATTTAGCAGTTAAATGCTTTTATAGCTCTATCTGTGGGCCGGCAGGAGCAGCAGTGCTTAATGCCCTTATCCCCCTCCTTCCTTCAACAGCAAAGCAAATCTCTTTTCTATTCCACACTGCCTGCAGTTGACCCCACCCACCCCTTTCCACTGATCACACATCCATAGTGATTGGATCCTTCTCTCTGATTATTGAGTCTGTCTCCATCTTTATCTCCATGTCCATCTCCATTTCTATCTTCATCGCTATCTCCTTCGCTAATTCTATCTCCATGTCCATTTGATCTCTATTTCTATCTCTATGTCTATCGCTATATCTCCATATCTCTATCTCCATTTGATTTAAATCTCTAACTCTGTCTCTATCTCCATTTGAGCTAAATATTTCTATCTGCATTGCTATCTCCATTTGATCTCTATCTCCATTCCTAATCCCTCTTTCTCTGATCCTGAAATTTATTCTTCAACATTACAAATCGTTCTGCACCCACTTCTATCTACCTACACCCTGAACTCCCACAATTTCTAAACCCAGCAGTATTAACTGACCTATCCAGGCTTGTAGCCTCTCCTGGAACATTTCTAACCTGACTGGGAGCCAAGCTTCTCAATAATCAGCAAATCCATTTAAAAGAAAAGTAACAGGAGGCAGGTTGTTGAGATAAATCTCCAGTGACATCCTCCCACTCACTTGGAAATCCACCCCGACAAATATCAGAGCCATTGTCTTTGGTCCCTGACGTTCCATTCCTTGGCCCTTAACTCCATTCCTCTTCCAGGTATGTGGTCAGTGGTATTCGAGCTCAAGGGATTTAATGACCTACTTAATGGGGCAGCACGGTGACTCAGTGGTTAGCACTGCTGCCTCACGGTGCCAGGGACCCGGGTTCGATTCCACCTCGGGCGACTGTCTGTGTGGAGTTTGCACATTCTCCCCGGGTCTGCATTGGTTTCCTCTGGGTGCTCTGGTTTCCTCCCACAGCCCAAAGATGTGCAGGTTAGGGTGGATTGGCCATGCTAAATTGCCCACAGTGTCTGGGGATGTCTAGATTAGGTGGATTAGCCATGGGGAATGAGGAGTTACAGAGGTGGGTCTGGGTGGGAAGCTCTTTGGAGGGTCCGTACAGACCTGGTATGGGGGATTTTAGCTATGAAGAAAGGTCGAATAGGCTGGGGTTTCTTTTTCACTAGAACGCAGGAAGTTCAGGGAGCGATCTGATAGACATTTATAAGATTGTGAATGGCATGGATAGAGTGGAAAGTATGAAGCTTTATCCCAGGGTGGAAGGGTCAATTACTAGGGGACACAGGTTCAAGGTGCATGGGGAGGTGGGGGGCGGGTGTGTTGATCCGGGGAGGGGGATGTTTAAAAGAGATGTGAGGGGCAGGATTTCCACACAAAGGGTGGGGAGTGCCTGGAAAGCGCTGCCAGAGGAGGTGGTGGAAGCAGACACAATAGCAACGTTCAAGAAACACCTCGACCAATACATGAATAGGAAGGGAATAGAGGGATACAGATCTTATAAGTGAAGACAGTTTTAGTAAGGAAGGGCAAAATGTGTCGGCATGGGCTTGGAGGGCCGAAGGGCCTGTAACTATGCTGTATCGTTCTTTGTACAGACTTGATTGGGCTGAAGGGTCTGTTCCTGTGCTGTAGGGACTGTACGACAGTCTGATGTAAATTGTCAGAGATACAGTAACTGGGTTCTTCCCAGTGTTTATCCCTCAATCAACATCACTGAATCAGACCTTAATCATGTTGCTGTTTATGGGAGCTAAGATATGAACAACATTTCATCCATCCAGCCTGCTATACTATTCAGTAGGAACATGTTCAACCTCTAATTGTTACCTCTAATTCACAGTCCTTCCTAGCCCTGATAAACTTTTACCCCCTTGCTTAACAAGAATGTATCTATCGCTCGACCTCAAAATACCCAAGGTCTCCATTTCCATCGCCTAGAGTTCCAAAGAGAGTTCCAAAGCCTCATGGCCATCTGAGAGGAAATATTTTGCCTCATTTTTGCTTCAAACAAGTGACCCCAGAATGTTAAACATTGAGCAGTAGCTCTTTCATTCTTGCTATGTTTACCTTGTCACAGAGTCAAACAGCACAGAAACAGACCCTTTGGTCCAACCAGTCCATGTTCCCAAACTAAACTAGTCCCACCTGCCTGCTCTCGGCCCATATCCCTGCAAACAGTTTGTATTCATGTACTTATGTGAATGTCTTTTGAACATTGTAACTGTACCCACGTCCACCACTTCCTCTGGAAGTTCATTCCAAATACGAGTCACTCTCTGTGTGAAAAAAGTTGCCCCTCATGTCTTTCATAGAACATTACAGCGCAGTACAGGCCCTTCGGCCCTCGATGTTGCGCCGACCTGTGAAACCAATCTGAAGCCCATCTAACCTAAACTATTCCATTATCATCCATATGTTTATCCAAATTTTTTGGATAAATCTTTCTCCTCTTGCCTTAAAAATATGCCCCCTAGTCTTGAAATCCCCCACCCTAGGGAAAAGACACCTGTCATTCACCTTATCTATACCCCTCATGATATTATGAGGTCAGCCCTCAGCCTCCTGTGCTCCAGTGGAAAAATGTCCCAGCCTATTCAGCCTCTCCTTATTACTTAGACTTTCCATTCCCGGCAACT